CATGCCGAGGATCTATACTGATTCTCATCAGGACATGCTCCGATCTTAAACTGTGAATCCTGTGCTTCCGGCAAACCATATTTGGCGAAACCCATGGATATGCCTGTCATATCCTGGTTCTCTTGCCTATACATCCTTTTCTATTGCGTACTACACAAACCCCTTTTTCTATTACAGCTCATGTACCGGATTTATTAGTTGAGTAAAGCGTATAATTCCGACTGAGTCTTCTCCATTTCGCTCTCGTTTGCTTGATTCGTAACACGTTACAATTTACTCAACTAATAATGGACCGTTACCTTTGACCCGACAAAGTTTATGTCGATCTGAACGCCCCCGACGCCTCCAAACAATGGACTTACTGGATACGCACTTTCAACGCCTTTCTAAAGTGAATTCAATCTGATGACACAGACAATCTGGACCTATTCATCAATTCTTTGGCACACTCTGTCTATGAACACATCTCAGATTGTAAGACATTTGAAAACGCTAGCTCTCTGGTCGAATCGCTGTACGTTCGCCCCAAAAACGTTGTGTTTGCAAGGTACCTACTTTCTAATTGCAAACAAGACGCTCGGCAGAACATAGACCACTTTGTTCAAAACATCAAAACGCTCGCTAAAGACTGTAACTTTCGGGCCGTGTCAGCCGAAGAATACTGCGACGATGCTATGCGCGACGCATTCATAACGGGACTCTAGTCTCATGTCATTCGTACGAGACTGCTGGAACAACTATCTCTGAACTTTCAGTCGGCTTACGATATGGCCAGGTCCCTTGAGAATGCCCAAAAACAATCGCGGTCGTACGAATCAGAGAGCGTTCTATGTGCGTCTACTAATCCGCTTCCTCCGACCAATTCCGTCGCCGACCCTGAACCTGTTCTACAAGCGGCTTCTAAAGAGGCATGCTATTTTTGCGGCTATTCGACGCACCCTCGTACCAAGTGCCTCACTGGGGAGGCCGTCTGTAAAAACTGTGAAAAAACAGGACACTCCAAGCGTGTGTGTAAATCTAAACCAACGCATCCATCAATCACATCTGTCCTTAGACCCTTATTTTTCTCCACATTCACTGCCGCCGCTCCCACTTGTTTGTCCCGTGCCACTACCACCGTTTTTGTTAATGGGATTAAACTTCAAGCACTAATAGACACTAGTAGCTCCGACAGTTATGTATCCCATTCTATTGTAAGTACCTACGGTTAGAAAGTCTATCCTTGTGACTGTAAAATTACCATGNGTGGCAAACATGGTCCTTTCTCACTCGGCAGCCTCTCCGTGGCCAACATCGAATCACCCCCATTGTTTGCCCATCTCTCTGCCGACTGTAAACCAATCGCTACCAAATCCAGAAGACATTCAGCTGAAGATGTACAGCTAATTAGGTCTGAAGTGCGATGCCTTCTAAGAGATGGTATCATTGAAACTTCAAACTCCCCGAGGAGGGCTCAAGTCCTTGTTAGCAAGAACGTCAACCACAAGAAACGAATGGTTGTTGATTATAACCAGACGATTAATCGCTTCACTCAACTAGATGCTTACCGACTACCCCGCATCGATACCATGGTGGAAGACATCTCACGCTATGCCGTATACAGCACCCTTGATTTTAAAAGTGCTTATCATCAGATTCCCGTCAAAGACCACGAGAAGCCTTACACCGCATTTGAAGCATGTGACAATCTCTTTCAGTTCTGTCGAATACCGTTCGGGGTTACTAACGGTGCCGCTTGTTTTCAACGCAACATAGACAAAATTTTAAAAGTAGGTCTGAAGAATACGTTCGCATACATAGACAATGTTACCGCATGCGGTTCGACCCCGGAGGACCACGATCGAAATCTCGAACGCTTCCTGAAAGCCGTCGCCAAATACGGCATCACTTTGAATGAATCAAAAACTGTAACCGCTCGGAAAGAAATCCAGCTCCTCGGTTATCACATATCCTACGGCCTTATCAAACCCGACCAAGATCGAATGAAACCCCAAGCGTGAAATTCCCCCATCTGCGGACAGCAAGTCCCTATACCGCGTGATTGGTCTCTTTGCTTACTACTCGCAGTGGATACAGTCATTTTCGGACAAAACCAATCCATTAGTTCAGAACAAAACATTCCCTTTACCACCATCCGTCAAAAGCGCATTTGAGGGACTCAAACTAAATTTGGAAAATGCCATGCTCGTGACCGTAGACCATAAGATACCCTTGGTCGTAAAAACAGACGCTTCTGGTGTAGCTATAGCAGCATCACTCACTCAAAATAACCGTCATGTAGCCTTCTTTTCGCGCACTCTGACTCAAACAGAACGACACTACTCTGCTGTCGAAAAGGAATTCAGCGCCATAGGCAAAGCAATTCGCAAGTGGCGACACTATCTTCTGGGCAGACACTTTAAACTTATTACCGATCAACGTTCGGTAGCCTATATTTTCAATAACAATCACGCTAGTAAAATCAAAAAACGACAAAATCCAGAGATGGAAACCCGAGCTGGCGGCTTACCACTATGGCATAGTATACCGACCCGGTAAAGACAACTTCGTCGCGGACGCACTCTCCTGTTAAGTATGTGCTTCCAACTTCGACTGCCATAAACTGAAGACGTTACACGACTCGCTGTGCCATCCTGGAGTCACAAGTATGATCTACTTTGTGCGCTCCAAAAATCTACCGTACTCGGTTGAGGAAGTTAAAACAATGACTTCTCGATGCAGCATATGCGCCGAATTGAAACCGCGCTTTCATAAGTCGCTCACAGGGCACCTGATCAAGGCTACGCAACCATTTGAAAGACTCAGTATCGACTTCAAAGGGCCGTTACCCTCGATGTCTCGTAATCGGTACATTCTGACGCTCATAAACGAATACTCTCGGTTCCCATTCGCCTTCACCATTCCAGACATGCAATCGTCTACGGTCATTAACTGCCTCTGCCAACTATTTCCGATCTTCGGGATGCCAGTCTACGTTCACTCGGATAGGGGTTCATTGTTCTTGTCATCTGAAATATCAACTTTCTTACGAGATAAAGGAGTGGCTATCAGCCATACAACCGCCTACAATCCGCAAGGTAATGGTCAAGTTGAGCGACTGAACGGTATTCTTTGAAAGGCTATTTCCCTGGCACTAAAGACGAGGGGTTTAGCAATCTCGCAGTGGGAATCCGTCCTACCAGACCCACTGCACTCGATCCGTTCTCTTTTATGCACCGCTACAAATGCCACTCCACATGAACGACTTTTCTGTTTTGCCCGACGCTACACTAGTGATACGTTTCTTACAACCTGGTTGACTAGCCCTGGCCCCGTACCGCTCAAACGCATGGATCGGTCCTCAAAGCTGGATCCCCTCGCGGAAGAAGTTGACCTATTCAAACTGCAATCCGCATTACGCCTTGGTGAAATTTCGTAATCGAAGAACAGAGAATGTTTCCATTCACCGTTCGGTCCCCCGGGGTGACCCACCGTTATCGACAAACGAACTCCTAGTACCAACAGATCATCCCTCCGCACCACTTCACATCGTCCCTCCGACAGAATACGACACCTTACCCGAATCTCCTAGCCTCAATGATGAATGTACCCATCCACCGACAACGCTCACACCCCACTCATATACCGATATACTGAAATAACAGCAGAGAACACGCCCTTACAATCTACGAAGTAGAGAAGCGTGAAACAGAACTTAATGCTGTTTTTTTACTACAAAACGTATTTTCGAAGGGTTTCACATTCAATAAACGGTCGTTTTCCAGCCGAGGTGAATGTCATATCTTGGTTCTCTTGCCTATACATCCTTTTCTATTGCGTACTACATAAACCTCTTTTTCTATTACAGCTCATGTACCGAATTTATTAGTTGAGTAAAGCGTATAGTTCCGACTCTGAGTCTTCTCCATTGCGCTCTCGTTTGCTTGATTCGTAACACGTTACAATGCCTGAATTAATAAATACAGACGGGCCGGCTGGTAGACCGCACTTACTTGCACTCCTCTTGCCAAGAGGACTGTGCCATCATTGGTCAGTGCTAACGTTCGTTCGTTATTCGAGAAGATCTCGGGTTTAACTTCCACTCTAAACACGTAATAGTTCCAACACATGTGTTGTGTGTAAAAGAAACTTAGCTGAATCAAAAAGTTGAGGACGTGCCCGTGAGAATAGATGGTTTCGAATGTTACCGGCAGGATAGGCAGCAAACAGGAAGAAAACTTAAGGTGGCGGGGCAACTTACATCAAGGTCTCCTGGTCCGGCAGGTCAGAAGTGATGTGTAACTATTCTGAAAAATGCATTGACTTCATCCGTTCGTTGTCATCCAAAATTTTCTCGTCACAAAAATACAATTATTATTATTATTGTGTTCTCAGACGGAAATCTGCCTTCTTTGATTACAATATCTCGTCCCCAGTTCTACTATAAGATGAAAATCGTCACTTACTTGTTGGTGACTTAAATCACGAGAGCGTTTCCCCCTGCTTTCGCTTAGTCTATCTGACTTCTCTCATCCTCCTATCATAGGTAGTTTTGTGTTGAACAGAGTGATCACAAACCATCCCAACTTATTGTCTGTCAAACGCTGGACCCCGGATAATACCAGTGATCATTATATCCTTCTTGTTAGACCAAAGGTGTGATCTCTCACTGCTTATTAAACAACCATACGTTCTAATAAGATCACATTTTATCTTGGGCCTTTTCATCCAGCCGCCTCTCTTTTATCAACCGTTCTATAGCGATTGTTCAGTCTTGGTTTGATTATTGTCCGTCGCTTTTTGGATGTGTCAATCTGTTCACTGAAACGACTAAATCGATCTTTCACTTGTGGTACCGCAAGAAAACCCTGTTTGTTTGCAACCGCAGAGTCGCCTCACTTTTTTAAATCATTAAGAAGGTACAAAGAAAAAGCTTACAAATCTCGTCATGCAACAGTTGTAAACACTATTCTGACTTAATCCAGTTTGAGATAACGCATCTGAATGTAATATTCGTCGCCCACATTCTGGGAATAAAGAACACCAGTCATTTATAGCAAGGTGTTCGCCTTCTCTGTGGACAGAACCAATAACACTCGAATACTATTGTGGACGTCAACAGGCTCAACACCGCTCTCATACATCTGTCAAATGAGAACAAGATTCCCTCATTCCTGTGAAACGAGCCCGATCCAGTGCCTTTTCCCAATGAAGACTAAGCTTCTCTGGTCCTGTAAAGCATCCTTAGCTGCAGGCTCTGATGGTCTCCCTTCATCAGATTTGGAGTAGCTTCTCTAGCTGACATGATGACATCCATCAGTATTGATTCCGTCCTCCCTGTCGATTCCCGACTTTTGGCGTCAAGCTACAATTATTCCAATCGCCAAATCCTCATCCTCAACGAAACCGTTTTCCCCTATCGCACTGACCTCCTCAATTCTAAAGTTGNTATCAGTAAGTCACTGGACACTTCAGCAAAGTTTGTCCGTTATGTTTTCTTTGATTATCCATCCGCGTTTGATTTCGTTTCTCAATAACCTCTCCTTTTCAAATGTCTTTGGCACCACCAGACAGCTGCTCTCATGGCTTTCTGACTATTTTACGGAGTGCAATGCACCAAATTGTGAAGTGGTACATCAAAACCTCTAATTAATCATTCCGGTGTGCTTCAAGATGCTATTCTATCTCCATCTCTTTTTTCTGCTTTCGTTAGTGACCTTTCTGTCCGACTCTCTGCACGCATCCAAAAGTATGCTGACGATATCACTTTGTGTCAATTGATTTCCTCTCCTTCGGAATTTGATTCATTCACGGAAAATTTATTTCACATCCGACAGTTTTCCAACTCATCTGGTCTTAGTAATAACAAATCCAAGTATCTAGAATATACCTTCAATCTTCAGAATGGCAGAATGACCTCTATCAAGTGTAACCATCGACAGTAATCGAAGGTGGTCCACACACATTTACAATTACATGGGAGAAGTCAGACGCCTCTCGTGTCAGCTACGTAAACTCAGACAAATCCAAATCCCACAGTCAGTTCCGTTCATCAATGCAGTTTCCCATTCTACTCTATCGCTCCCCGATCTTTAAAAACGAGACTTGAGAACCATTCTTTGTGGTTTAGTGATAACCAGTCCGATGTATTAATCGTAGAGCGCATTATTGGTCCCGTTAACTTGCGCCAAATTTGCCAACGAAATTCTATACGACCTTCTTCGTCCACTGCATCCCAATTTATCCTCTTTTCGTTCCTATCTGTCCTCCTTTTGATATCTACCCTCTTGTATTGCCATTTAAAGAATTCCTCCAGTCCGACTCCTCACCAACAAGGAACATATCGCAAGTGAATTACGTCAGAATTTGTGCACATGAAACAAACTTCAGAGACTTTTTTCCTCTTGTATGTTGTATGAAACCGTGCATTTTATTTTACGTGACGACCAGTACCCATTTTTAACTAAAATGTAAGCATATAAGCTCACACAAGTTATACAAATACAAACACGAATGTCTTGCAACGCGGCACACGGTTTAAAAATAAAAACCATTTTTGATTCTCAAGATTACGGAGCGGTACCGGGCAATTTCAACAAGAAGTACTGTCAACAAAAGAGCATAAAACCGACTGATGAATAAGAGCTCACCTGTAGAAATTCATGAGGAGACACGTGTGTTTTGAAATGTCTTGGGTTCCAGAGTTTGCGAATTAGTTCACCGAATCGTTGAACTAGCAAATGCATTTGGTCACTGGATGTAGTCAAGAGACTTTTGTAATTATTTACATCCAAGAAGTAGTCGCGCAACGGACTGACATGGCTCAGCATTTGCAAAATCACATTGCAATAGTCGTTAGCCTACGGAAAAAACAGCAAGAGTTAGTATGAAATATGTGAATTGATAAAAAAAGAAACAAAGAAAAGGTCTCACCCACCTTTATATTATTCAATCCGACAAAACCCTGATGATAAGTGAGGCCATTGTAGGCCCGCATCATACGAGGATTGATGTCCAGAGAAACGATGTCCGAACGCGTAAAAGTCGGATTGAGCAAGTATGTTATGTCGTCCAAGGAGCCATCGATAATCTCGTAATCATCCGGTAGACAGTAGAAACGATGCGTTTCCAGATTTAGGAAAACATGATGACCTTCACTCACGCTGTGCGTGTAAGCATGTGTTGAAGTTCCTCGACCCTAATAAAAGAATTGCACCACTTCATGAAAATGAGTTTTACAGAATTACCAATAAAAGGATTCGAATCAGCTAAGAATAGTCTGAGGGTGAAGGGGATTAGATCAAAAGTTAGTTGTCTAATCAAATCCTGACTACAATGATAGTGTAAAGGTGGAATAAATCTACATATCTTGACCTGTGATTTTGTGTAAAATGCTACTCCTTATGTTGTCACATAAACTTAGTTTGGCTCAATCTATCGTTTTTAGCATAAGTTGTAAACCTTTTTCATACCAAACCAAGCCGAATGAAACAATTGTATATGAAAACAATGATAGTGTGATTACTATGGCAATATACGAAGATGTCCATGAAGCGAGTAATAATTATTTCAGTCATTCAGTGATCGTCGTAAGGTTATCCAACTCATCGACTGTCCTTTCGGCAGCCACTCTTTCCGGTCACCTTCTAAAAGCTGCTTCTTGTAATTTTTACCCTTGGTTCTTTCCCAAGAGTTAAGATCACTTCTAATTTCCTGATCCCTCCCGAAAGACTGAGACATACATCACCCTTTTCGTTTCCGATTCTATCGTACATTTTTAACTGAAATGTAAGCATATATGCTTACACAAGTTATACAAATACAAATACTACCTTACCCTCGCTAACTATTTTTTATGTGGCCATATTTTATCCCAATATGACAACCCCAAATGTTCGTCTAGCACTGTGTTTATTAGATATATCTAGTAAACTCAGTTAGCCCATCATTGCTTGTTTGACCCAGCTTTTCGTGCGCGCTTTGAGTTAAAGCTAGGACATGAGCTAAGACTGATGCAACGCGGTGGTGTAGACAAACAATAGAATCAAGTTAGACCAACAATGCACTCTGTAGAAAACATTACTTGTGGATCTGAAGCCCCTCAGAAGCATTAAATATCTCATAAGTCAGAAGCGATGGAGGAGCGATAAATCCCAACCGACCGGGATAAAAAAACGGGCAAGTGAAATTTTCGCATTCGACTCACGATCACTTGTGAGTAGCGTGTGTGAGACAGTTGATATTGATTGATTTGACTGACTATCCTTCGGACTTCACCTTCACGCACAATCCTCAGTTCATCGATTCAACCATACATTTGGAAGAACTAGACTTGAGTTTCGCTCTTATTAGAGCTCATCAGTAGTGCACACCCACCGTCCTGTCCGAGTTTTGAACTCCGGACTCATCGCATGGAAGGCGTGTTACCACTGCGCCAACCAGCTCATGGCATGGCTGAACCAAATTGCCAATTGATGTTTGTTCAGGTGTTGTCTTCAGTGATAGTCAGTTCATTCGGCCCGACNAAAGGAGACAGATGACAACCTGTTAACTCCAATCGAAAGTCAGGACTTTCATGCAGGTTACGGTTGGACTTGCCACACACCTATAAGGCGCGATTGATCTTCGTATTTGACTCACAGTTAATTGTGAGTAGTGTGTGAGGGATAGTGACATTTGCAATATAAACTACCGGAAGGCCTCAACAAAGACAGAGGAAATTGATGGGCTTAAATAGCTAATGAAATGGAGGTTACGGTATTTGCCAGCCTCTGATCGAGTAACGGTCCATAGCGAACTAAGTGGCCCGTTCGTGGCCGATTGTGGTGGTCGTCAAGGCTGCTCTGTTTCACCCTTCCTGATCAATTTCGTCGTGAACACACCCGAGGCGGTCACCAAAATGTTCGTATTGAATGGGTCGTCGGGTAAAAGCCGTGCGACTTGGAGCACACCACAATGTCGTCTCTCTGTCTGATTGAAAAGTACATTTGGCGAACTAACAGGTTAAATTTCTTCTTTCGGTACATACTTTGAATCTTCAAAGTAAAAAGTGATGCTGAAGGACTGGGTGTCCACCATCCTTGCATTGAATCTAGATAGTTACTAATGGACAGAACTTGATTACTTTTCATACCTAGGCAGTAGCGCAATCAATAACGGTAGTGCAGTAAAAGAGACAACTGCACGCACTTCCGAGTCTCGAGCAACGTATGTAGGACTGAAACATCTTTGGAGTCGCCGTGATGTTTGACCGGAAGCTGAAGGGTCCTACATATTAAGCTACAGTTTGGTCAGTTTTGTTTGGCGCTTGTAAGGCTTTGATTTTTTTAGTAGAGGTTTTCGAAAACTGATGCCTTCTTAGTTTGGCACAGGTATACCTCCGAAAGCCACAGTATGGTCGGGGGTGGGTATCTCGGGTGGTAGACAGTCATCCCACTCTTGCATCTCGCGAGGTGCCCCCATATGACCAAGCGTCTCAAACAGCTTCTACTGAAAAAGCAATACTCACTGTCTTCCCATGTCAGGAGTATTTACTCACCAAAGTGAGAGGACGAAAAGTCAATATCCAGGGTCGTAACCGAGTCAGTCAGTTTACCTAGGGGATTTGGCTTAAAACCCTGATTCCAAACCATCCAAGAAGAGGCTCACGTATCACACCCACCCACACCTTCTTGGTTGTGGTAGTGGTTACCGGCTCCATAGGGCATCACGGTGTATCGGACATTTTGGACATTTGACTTCGTCCACAGGACGCATGATCTGATGAACTGGCCCCTGGCACTCAACGGACTGCGGTTTTAACACACCGCCCGCTGCCTTGTGGATCAGGCTTTGCATATCCGAAGACTACGACTGCAAATTCCCCAAGAAAATTCACCGGCTTGAACCTGGGTAACCTGGAAGTATTCCGCACACATGCAAGTCATGAACCTGTTTTCATAGTCTGGTCTCCGACTTGTGTGAGATACGAAAATATATTGGCGCAAGTATGATGGAATTATCTTTTTAATAACTTAGCTCCGTCGTCGTGTGCTTGGAAATTTATCAATGTAAAATTCAGATTAGCAGACTTCACTGTTTACGACAGGTATTGGCATACCCAACAGTCGTCTACCGCACTGAGCCTTATTGGCGGTAGCCGCTCCTTTCTAGAGAAAAGAGGCATGAAAAGCGGCGAAGTAGCATAAGTGTCTCCCGCCTTTCAGCATGGGGTCTAAAGAAACCGAGGGACATGGCAGCGAACCGACAGCAGTGGCGTTTTTGTTATTCCTTATCAGGCCAAAGCGATGTGCATGCACAGTTCGATTGCATGTTCTGTGGCCGGACCGCATGTTCGATTTCTCTTCCTCTTCCTTCGAATTAGCCTGTCTACTTGACATGTTCTCACTTACTTTGGCAGTGTTCGGGGAAATTCAGGTCATCATATTTCGCCATATGTTGCTGGTGATTCCCTTGGAGTCTGCCATCTGTAACGAATGCCATCGTTCACCTCATTAGTATGCTTAAACTTATCTTCTGCATCTAGACGCACACTCAGCGGATTTCGCTTTTCCGCGACCATCTGTCTTCCCGTTTTCGGAAATGACATCTCCAGTTTTTATGAAACCTATACTGCCTAAAATCCGACCATGATTGTTCAACATTACAACTGTGCAACACTCAAAATCTCACGATCCTTTGAGGTGTTCAACCAAACTTGTTATTACGTCGTGCGAACGAAAAACGCAGTCACCAGTCAATGACAATATCCATTAACTAATCTTTTTGCTATTCCATACTAAAAACGGTGACAACTAACTAGTTGTAATATAATACCCAACCATTGCCCTTTGCTTATAAAGTAATATCAAATCGATATAAAGCAAACCCTATGTCATCACTCCAAATGAACTTCACTTTGAAAACCGCTTGCTAGTTATGAGATGAGCATCATCACCATCATCGTACAGTCAGATACAGGGAAGTGAACTTCGCTGACCGTTCCCAAGTTCACAACGTGCACAAATTAAGTAAAAGAGTGCACGATGGATAGGGTTTGGGCCTAATTGGAGGGATGGAAAGAAAGTGAACCTCTATGGACAATAAACATACTGCAAAACCAAACTGCGCATACATACCTTTTTAAGCATTCCGACGTGATAAGGAATGAGAATAAGAGCGCCGCTGCTGTCGGTTGTTGCAAAATTTGTTTAAATCACCGAAAACTGTGATACTATCCAGAATGAAGATTTCAGGAGGGGAGGTAATTTCGCCTTAAAATTCCTACAATGCCACTGGAAAATGGATTTGAACCAATCTCTCCGGCGGGAAGCTGCGATTCTTTCTCGGTGTTCCTGACGATGTGGAAACCAAGACAACAGACGAAATGTGACAATCAGATTGGTGCATTCACTTTGTCGGTACTCATACGTTTCCTATTCAGAAAAATTAGGGTTGCGCGAAACGCTGTGAATACAGTTCCTTCTGTTTTTCTTAAACAGTTTTCTGGCACTTTCAATAAACGTTTATTTAGTTCCAACTGACTTTTGATTGGAAATCATGGGAAGACAGTTTATGGTGATATAGTGGCAGACGCAGCAGAAAAATAATCGAACAAATTATGAGAAGTAAATAGCAAAAGGATAATTAACTAAGCTCATTATTTTAATCCATAATGAAAATAATAAAGTGTGAGAAAACCGGACTCAGAATGAAGCGCGTGAAAAGACAAGTTAGGTAGATGGACTGTACCTGAAAATATTTCCCACAAACTAAACAGGCATACACATTTAAATGTGTTAGGGAAACCGAGCACAATTTTTCGAAGTCGAAGTCCAATAAGTGTCTATTTATTGTGTCCAAATAGGGACAAATTCGACTGCGCGAATCCTCACCATTGGGTAAAAGAATGGTAGCGCGTTTCGCCAATGGTTGCTCCTCGTCTTCATCACTCTGAAATGGGCATAAACGTTAATTATCGAAGTGATACTTACTTCGTGAACACTAAGCTTTCGACTTTTTGTGTGAGATTTCTCAAGCTTCCGTTTCATCAAAACGGACGGTAATAGGGACATTTGTATAGGAATTAGCTGAAACAGATATCATAAAACACAAGATGCTCGACAAATAATGACCGCTGTTGGCCAGGGAGAAGTTAAAAAACGATTAAAACAGCAAGAACTAATTTGTTCGGTTTATAAAATTAACTATTTCGTTCTGATATTGACGTTTTCAGTTTTTACATTAATTAACCATGCACTTTCGAGCGTCGGTGTAAGTTGGTCTTGTGATTGCCCATTTGAATGAAAGAGCAGGAGGATTATTTCATTGCACACGAAGTGATTTACAGCAAAAGGGGTAAACCCCATGATCAGTGATATACTGTGAGGGAGAGGTATGTGGAGGAACATTCAAGAAAAGAATCAATTTTTTAATCCTGCGTTTGAAAAGGTCAAGGTTACAAGAGATTGTAAACACGAAAATGGGAAGTGTTCCACAATTTCGCAGTCCTCAGAGAAAAAAGAAGATTGTAAGATAGAAGTCCGACATCTGAGGACAGAAACCTGATAAGGGTGACTGCCCGCCTGAGAACGAGAAAAAGTCAACAGAAAGGGGAACCGCTGGAGCGATTACGGAAGAACAGAAACCAAAAAAAATAACGATAGAAAAGAGATAACGAAGCAACTGACCAGCGATGGGAAAGCGACTGCATGTTCGTCGATTAGCTGGATGGCTAGAAGTCGAACATGGTTGAGGAGAGAAAGAGCGGAATACGGAGTTCCACCACATACGTGACCGCTGTATTCGAGCACCGGGCGGATTTGAGTTTTGCATAAAAGAAGGTGCTTGGGTGTAAAGAAACGCTTTGCGCGGAAACCGACTATGCGCACGAGAGGCAAGTACAGAAATGGAAGGGGGTCGATAGGGAGAATAATGTATGGATGAACCTAAGACGGAGAGAGAATTTGTGGAACGAAAGGGCAGAGGATCAAAAATCAATTTAGGAGAATAGGGGACACGTTTCAGTTCTTCAGTTGTCACAATCACTAACCATGCACTTTCGTGCGCCGG